GTAAAAGTACTTTTACTTTTCCAATTTTTGTGAACAGTTTTATGGCTTTTACTCGAGTAGTTTTCTCATCAGAGAAATGTATTTTTACCAAAGTCATTTTGTGTTCCTGTAATTTTACTTTTACTTAGTTTTTTTCAAGTACTTTATAGACCTCTGCTCTCTGATAGTATGGGGGTGCATGAGTGCATTTTCCGCATACAAGTACTGTATATTTAGGTTTTAGACGATTTGCTCCTATTCAAATGTCTTTTACATGGAAAGCCTTTCATATTTCAGCAAAACCATGTTTAACCACATAATGCATCCATTACAACAGCGTGGCTTTTAGAAGAGTCTGGGTACTGAATGGACAGTCCTTATCTCTCACTAATAAAWGTAATAATGACAATTGATGCATTAACTAGATTCTACATCAGACAAAAATGGGACAATGTTCTTCTCTAAAAACTCCAGAAACTGGTCTCCTCAGAATAATGTTTACAGACTGTTGTTAAAAGAAGTAAAACTTCACAGTGAGAACTCAAACTTCTACTTTCACAGATGTGTTGCTGCCAATAAATGCAAAATTACTTCTTTTTTTAAAACAGGAGGCCACTTTTTTACTTAAACATTTGATCTGTTTACTATTTTTAATGGTTTCTGAGATTTGTTTTGGTTTACARTTTACACAAAGTCCCAACTTTTTCTTTTTTAGAGTTGGGGTTGCAAGATATGGCTGGATATAAACATGAACAAAAACCATGCTGCTAAACTTTGACCCTTTAACTATGTGCATTTGTTAAAAGCTGAGTAACTCAGAAACATGTGAACAAACTTACCGTTCATTCTGACATCCAAACTCCAACAGCAACAACCAAACTAAACAATTCTTCTCCGAAACCATTCATCTCTCGCTGTGTTTTATTCCTCCCTCTCAGAAACAGAAAGCAAGAGGCTAGCGACGCGCCGGCTCCATGCCGCTGCTGTGGCCGAGCAGGGTGCGCCCAACAGCGGCGTGAGGACTGATGCTCTGTCGGTGAACAGCGAGGCCTGCCGGGGAGCCGCTGGGGCTMCCACTGTCTGTCATGAATTCAGTCAAATACACACAGAAACTACAATGAAAACAAGCCGGAATGTCAATTTGGYTTGTTTTTAATCGCCTGTCTAAAGTGCAGTGGGTCGTCTGCCACAGAAATGAAAAGTTACTAGTTGCTTTGCTTTGTAGCCTGTGACACCGCGGAAAAAAGGAAACGYAGCGCTGACATGTCAGTGGCTGGGTCACGTGACCAAACAACACAGCTGTCACATGACGAGCATGCGCCTCTGGGAGTTGTAGTCCTAAAACAAAAAACACAGAAATTTATCKGATTTTTTTTCTAAAACAAAACAAGTATTATAACTGAAAAAGTATTTCTGTTGTACAACTCCAGTAAAATCAGGATAAATGTCAAAATACTCACATTTTATTTACTAAAAATAAACAACAATGTCAACCTTATTTTCAGGGGTAAATTTCTCACATAAAAAGTGCTTCTTCCAAAAACACATTTTTGTTTGAACTCAGTTAATAGTATACACAGATAATTTGAACCTATAGAGTAATGAAGGATGATAAATAAAGTTATAAATTAGATAGGGCATGCTTTTGTATGAATTAAAGAAAATTCACAATAATCTCAAACCTGAGCGCCCAAATCATGATTTTTTTCTTATTGTTGATTGTTTGTATGGTTGTGTAATCAGTCCACCCTGAGAAAAGCAGATGCAAATAAGTTACCGTATTATACCAATGAATGAAGGAAGTCATTGAAGTCAATGAAGTCACGCCCAGGATGAACGGTAACGTCACAAATGTAGTTGAACCAGTCCATAAATAAATGTAAACAGTTTTTTTAGGTTATTTTTAAAATTAGAAAGTTTATTGTATTATAT